TTGAATTTTGAGACTTTCGTTCCGCCCTTTTAGCCTTGCCCAATCCACACACACACAGCTCGCGATCCACGCTATACGGGGAGGCTGCAGACCAGGAGCAGGCAGATCTACGGCCCAGACAGTTTCACGGCCCAGGCTGTTTGACGGAACCTTGTTTTTTTCTTTCGTCACATGGTCCTTCAGAAATCATTCTAATATGCTGATTTGCTGCACAAGACACATTTCTTATTATTGTCAATGTTGAAAACATGTCTTTACTGTTACTTTTGATCATTTTACTGGCCCAAAACTTTTGAATGGTTGTGTATTTTTGAGTCATGACCATGGAATAATGGATGATTTATGGAAATTAATTTACAATTGAATGTTAATATTCAGTATATCACCCAACACTAATTTATGCCCATTCTTTTGCCGTCCTTTTAATCCAAAATGTACTAGGGTTGGTAAAGGATGTCTGGATGTTTATTGATATGTGTAATGTGTTGATTAGCCTGTTGATGCTAATTATGAAGCACAGAGCTGGGTATGAAAAATCAGTCAGACAGCAATCATCCGGCAAACGCAGACAGATTTCAAATTTTGATGACCTCTCTTCCACTGCAGTCTAATGTAGAACAGAGAGGTATATGTATTCACCTAATGTATCCGGTCGCCTTTCTCTCCGTTTTTCCCCATTTATTTCCACATGCAGCCCTTCATCTCCACTGCTAATTAATCTGTCTGAAGCGTGCAGATTTAGTCCTAATACACAGACCGGCTCCGATCAGGCGGGCAGTAATGTCCTAATGGAGCATCACGCTGCTTGAGTACCACAGGAGGAAAGGAAAAACAGCCGCTGGCCTTTGTTTCCCTGTGATCTGTGAATTCCTCTTTTAGCACAGGCCTGTTTACTGTGCTGTTATTTTGGAGAGCAGCGCACAGCACGAGACCCAAATAATGGCTGCATGTAAAAACACACATCATCATCCCCCCTGTACATTTCCCTTTCTCTGTGTTAGTGCCATGTACTTGCGCAGTTAGAGCGTTTCTCAGGAAGTGTGTTGTAGTAATTAGAGCCCCGGGGCAATCACCTCTGAAGAAGCCAAATGAAGTGAAGAAAGTGCTTTTCTGATGAGGCGCACAAACTGCGTGTCATATGGAAATTAGTTCTATAAATGAAGATTCGTTTGCTTTTGATGTGAGCATTTTGGTTTGAATTTAGTCCAATGTGGACCATTTTGTCATGGCTAAATCATCTTTTCTCTCTCTCTCTCTCTCTCTCACTCGCAGATCGGGACTTTAGTATCCAGGTGACCACTGAGCGCCGGGCCTACACGGCTGGTGAGCCGCTGGAGCTCCGCTGCACCATTGATGCTCAGAATGTTCCAGAGCGCTTCTTCTCGGTGTCGTGGGTCTTCAGCAGCTCACCCGTAGCCGTGATTGGGCCCAGCGCCGTGCCCGTACTGGGACCCAACTACATGGAACGGGAAGCCACCGGCCTCCTGACCGTGCGCAAAGAGAGCCCTTCCGTCCACCTGCTCAAGTTGCAGCGTCTACTGCCAGAGGACTCTGGGAAATACATCTGCAGAGTGACAGAACGGGAGAAGACCCTCACTGGAGATTTCATCGACCGCAGCAAGCGGTCCCGTAACGTTCAGATCAGTGTAACACCTCTCAGTGAGTATCACGGTTCTTTATCGGCCTCTGTTTCTGACTGGCCCCTAGAGTAGTCAGCTGATACCTCTCAACAGCGCACTTATTAAATGAAAACATGAACCTTTCGGCCTCAATTCAGATGTCCGTTACCTTAAGTGGATTATTCTGGGCTAGTTTAGCTTAGAAGGAATTGATTTAGTAATATTGTGGAGGCAAACGGCTATTGAAGTTCTTATTTCTGCTGAAGGTTTCTAAAGCACAGTTTACACTTAGTATCGCCCCTTATTTTCTCAGATGCTTTTCAGTTCTTGTGCCGGGTGCTCTCTCCCTCTCCCACTGTTAGAAGTATTGAGTAAACAGGAGAAAAAAGTAACAGTAGTGTGAAAGCAGTTCAGCTGTTTTCTAGATAGTAGAACTTTACCATTAACAAGTAGCAGTGTAGTGTGACAGAACACTACATCAATTTGTCACATTGAGGGTGTTTACATGAACAACAATACCCTGACAAGTATCAAAAATCAGCTAGCGAGTTGAATGTATGTATGTGTATGTTATTTTAAATTGTAGTCCCATTTTATTTAGAAGAAAATTTATACTTGTATTCAGCAAGGATGCATTACATTTATCAAAAGTGATTGTACAGACAAAAGATTAATATTTCTTTTTGTAGAGATTTCTTTTTGGTGTTTCATTATGATAAGACAGTTATTAGACAGGAAGTGAATTGGGGGGGCGGGTTCGGGAAAGGTCCGCAAGCCGGGACACAAACTCTGGACGCCCGAAGTGCAACAGTGCTATATGTTGGCATGCTGCCCACGGGGCTGTTGGCGCTGCCAAACGATTTATATTTCAAACAAATGTTGTCCTCTTAAACTTTCTATTTATAAAAGAATTCTGAATACTGAAAAAAGCATTAGAGTTTCCACTAAAATATTAAGCAGCACAACTGTTTTCAACAACAATAATAATTGAGCACCATGATTTCTGAGAGATCATGTGACACTGATGACTGGCTGCTGAAAAATTAGCTTTGCCATCACAGGAATTACATTTTAAAATACATTTAAAAAGAAATCTGTTATTTAAAATTGTAATAATAATTCACGATACTACTGATTTTACTATATTTTTAATGAAATAAATGCAGTATTGATGTGCATTATAGACTTTGAGCAATACTGTAAATGCTTCTCTGATTGTTAAAAACATCAAATGATCAAGCTATTCATTTAAAAAGGTGATACCCCATTAAATACATTTAGAATAGTTGTCTGTGTTATGTTAGTAGCTTGTAGTTCACTATTTGAAAGGGCTTGAGTTTAAATACAAAGCTAGAGTTTCAGAGTAGCTGCACTGGTAAGGTGCTTGTGAGTGGGCAATACAGTACTGTGTCCTGTCTAAAATCGTTTAATGCACAGCATTTTTTCACAACTTGGTTTTGTGGAGGCCTGAAAAGCCCTTGAAATAGCATTGCATTTCAAGTGAGAGTTACTTGAAAAGCCAAGTCTAACAGGCATGAAATGAAAGTGGGAACGCCGTCGCCTTCAGCATAGCCTTGGTAGATCCCCAAGGTGGATGTGATTGTGCCCAGGCTGAGAAACCACAATTGAGCTAAAGGAGTTGATGAAAGCTAGATGGGGGAGCGGAGGTTAATCAAAGGTTAGTAAGAATACATCTGTTCTGCTCAGACTTTGGCCACCCAAATCCAGCCTCTTCCAACAACAGTCCTTTCACACTCTATAAGTTGAAGGAGATCTTTCTTTCTTTCTCCTCAGGGGAATCAGCTTTTATAGGGTGTTGAAGGATGTCCGGCAAGTATGCATTACATCAACACGCTATGTTTTTTGCAGTTATTTACATGGTTTAGCTACATCAGCATGTTACATATTTCCATAATGCCCACCTACTGGCTGCTTTGGCCCACCCTCAAGAAAACAAGTTGGTTAAGTGAAGGAGACGCTTTTTTTCCGCTACGTGGGCAAAAAAATGTATGAACTTCCAAACCCGAAGCCATAGTTACCATAGATTTAATCCTGTTTACTGCTGCATATGAAGCCTCGGGAGCTGAAACCCGATTATGGTAAGGAGCATTTGCATTTCTGACACATGCTCCAAACGGTTGACCAATCACAACAGACCAAGTGACCAATCAGAGCACACTGGGGTTTTCGAAAAATCAGGCTTTAAAGACACTGGAACTACAACGGATGCTTCAGGCAGAGGGTGAAAATAGGTGCTGCAGCAATGTACAGTGTGAGGAAAATTTTTTTTATGAACTTTAAATCATGTAAATGTTTTCTAGCAGACCCCAAAAATAAAATTATGAACTTTTAAATGAAAATTAAATGGGCACTTTAATATATATCAATTAGCTGCAGTTCCGCCACTCGTTCTTGTGCCAGTTTCTCTCTTAAAGCGATAGTTCAGCCAAAAATGTGAATTCTATCATCATTTATTTACCTTAACATCATTCCAAAACTGTATGACTTTCTTTGTAACACATCTATTTAGAATATTCATAAAAAATGTCCCAGGTTTTTTTTTTTGTCCGTACAATGAAACTCAATGAGGTATGATGTGATTGTGTTGGACCCCTTGACTTTCATTCTACCGGCAAAAATATTCTGCAAAATATTTTCTTTTGTGTTACACAAAGGAAAGAAAAGTCATACATGTTTGGAACGACGTGAAAGTGAGTATGTTAGGGTGAAATGTCCTTTTAAGATGGCTAGAAAAAGGGAAAGGACTCTTGGAAAGGTTTGTGAATGAGACACTTTATTACACCATACTTTGGTCTTTTTTGTCTTTGCCCCCGCAGGAGACCCTGTGCAATATTTGCAGGGTTATTATAGCAGTAGATTGATAGTTGCAGTATGGATTCGAGACAGCACAGAGTTTAGCCCCTTCTTCACCCACATGCTCACTCTCTCTGTCTTCAGCTCAAGGCCTCACTGACTATCTAAGTAGATCTTTAAGGCAATATATACGACTGAAGCATTTGCGTATAGAGACACTGAGAGACTGGACTGGGTGAAAGTACAGCCATACCCCAACTGATCATTGTGTAAACTTATTTCATCTTCTCAGAGAATAGGAGCACATTAGAAATTGAAGAGGTTTCATCCCCAGATGTTTCACTTTTGTTATGTATGAAATCAAAGCCTCTTGTGTTCGTTGCCTGGTTGGTCATGGTGGTTTTCTTCTCAAGAAGTTCTGCTAGAGCCTCTTTCTGAAGAGAGCCTTTGGTGACCCATGGGAAGTGCGCAAACTTTGTCTCTTTAAAGTCCCATTTTTGTTTTATCACATGCTGCTTTTATAGGGACGTGGTGGTGTGAAATCCCTGTCGAGAACTCTGGCGATGTCTGCGAAGGCTTTGATCTACACTCGTGCTTATGAGATCTCTCAGGCTCTAGACCTCTTGATGAGAAAACTATTCCAGAGGTCCTGCTAGTCTGAGGCCTAGTCTGCTGTAGAGTGCAACGGAAAGATATGGAAGAAAAGATGCCATTCATATATTGATTTTAGTGATATTGTGCAAACCTCAGACCTAACATGAGCTCAAATGTTGTCAAATGATTCAATGTTCTGTAAAAGCAACTTTCAACTTCAACTTAAAATAATTCTTTCAATTTAAAAACTGCTCTACCCACAGACCTATAGAACACCCACTCCCATAAACCATTGCAAATGACTTCTTATTGTACTGTCAGTCAACTTATGCATATGTTTTGCATTAAATATCATGTTATTTTATACTTAATCAATGACAGTTGATATACTACCATTCAAAAGTTTGCGGTTTGTAAGATTCTTTCTTTCTTTTTCTATATATTTTTTTCTTTTTCTATATTTTTTCTTTTTTTTTAAAGACATTAATACTTTAGCAGGCATGCATTAAATTGAACAAAATTGACAGTAAAAACATTTAGAATATTACAAAAGTTTTCTATTTCAAATAACTGCTGTTGAACTTATGAACTTTGCTATTCATCAAAAAATTCTGAAAAAAAGCATCACGATTCTCACAAAAGTATTAATTAGCACAACTGTTTTAAAAAATTATCATAAGAAATTAAATTGTAAAAAATATTTCACATTATTTCTATTTTACTGTATTTTTGATCAAATAAATGCAGCCTTTGCTGTGCATAAGAGACTTTCAATAACATTTAAAAAATCATACTAACCTTTGAACAATAGTGTATTTATATTATACTTTGGTTTTATTTTACTTTCTGTTACCATTTTTTAACAGTGTGTAGCTTCGAATCAAATGTGGTAACATTGTGATTCATGTTGGTGCTTGGTACACATCTTAAAACTCTTTAATGAAGAATGTTTTTAAATGCCTGTGGAGAACAATTAATGAAAAATACTTCTGAAATCAAGGCCAATTACAAAAGTGGGCAGTCCCTGCTCTTCTATATTGCCAACTACAATGCTAATCCACCAAACACTGTCCAGTGCAGGCGGTTCCTACAATACTCGAGGAGCCTGGTGGAGACCAGAACTATGTGTTCTTGCCTCTGGCCTTATCTGCATCCATCTCTCCAGTGGCTTTTGCAACTGACTCACAACCAGAGACAATATAGTAGAAGAAAACAAACCATTCATAGAGAAATGAATGGGAGAGATTGAAATGCTAAAAATGGTTACTGTTGGTATAGAAGTCTGACCTTTAAGTTAAAAAAGAGCCTGTTGCCATATAGGTAAAGGCAGCACCTCAATATATTGCTCCAGAATGTGCATTTGCTTGGCCAGCCAGCTAAAGAAACTAAGCTGATGATACAATTGCATCATTCATTTCGTCTATGTTACTGAAATAGAATGATAAGCTGTTTTCTATCAAGTAGAAAGGGGTTGTTCATACACCTAATGCATACAGGGAAAATAGTGTTCTTGTGTACTTGCCTTTTAGGGACTGTATTACAAAGGCAGTTTTCACCCAATGAGAATTTGTAGAGTTGTCTCTTGTACAGCTTGTCATGACTAATTTACTCATACACAATGTAAATGTACTCTAATTAATATGATAAACTAGCGCTAGTGTCATGTTTCCAAAGATTGATGTCTCATTTCCTCTGTCGTTTGTCTGTCTCTCATAGGAAGTAACATCACTGTGTCATTATCCAGTAACACGTCAGATATAATGGAGGGGGAGACCGTCCAGTTGACCTGCGTTGTTAGCAGCACTGTGGGTCCCCTGTCAGTGTCGTGGCAGTGGACAGATAAGGAGGGGATGGGTCCCGCTGTGAATGTGGCTTCAGTGGATCGTGAGGGCACGGTCACTCCTGGGCCCACCTTTAGGGAGCGCAGCAGCTTTGGAGAGATCCGGGTGGAGCGGGTTCGACCCGACACGTTTACCCTGTTCCTGTATAATGCCTTCCCCACAGACGAGGGCCAGTACAGATGCAGCGCCACCGAGTGGTCCCAGAGCGGTACTGCACCTGACTGGATTTGGCAGCAGATTGGAGACGAATCCGCCACCAAGACTGTCACTGTAAAATCAGTTGGTAAGACCACATATGTTATTTGAGACCCAGTATACCAAGGTTTGGGGAAGAAATTATAATAGTTATAATATAAATATAACTTTATATTTATTTTGGCATTAACCTGTTTATCTTATATTCTTGGACAGATTCTTAAATTATTATTTATAGCTGCTTTGAATTTGATGTTAATAATATTAAGTATTTTTATTTATTTAATTTTTTTAAATATATATTTACATAGGTTTAAAGTTTGGGGTCAGTAAGATCTTTTTCAGCATATTTTTATTACATTAAAAAGACATTAAAGGCATTTACAATGTTACAGAAGATTTCTATTTCAAGTAAATGCTATTCTATGAACTTTCTATTCATTAAAAATCGTGAAAAACAAATGTGTCACTGTTGATTAAGCAGACACAAAAACATTAAGCAGCACAAATGTTTTCAACATTGATGATAATAATAACAACAACAACAATAATAATAAAAGTTGCTTGTGCACCATTAAAAATGATTTCTGAAGAATTATGTGACACTAAAGACTGGACTAATGACTGATGGAAATTCAGCTTTGCCATCACAGGAATAAATTACATTTTGGAATACATTCAAATATAAAGCAGTTGTTTTCAATTGTACTGAATACTGGTGAGCAAAACTTTTTTTTAAATCGTACCGACCCCAAGCCTTAAACAGTATATATGTGTGTGCATGTTTGTATTTATAAAATATTCCCTCATAAAAGTAAAAAATGTGCTTGAAGTTCAGCGCCAGGGGACAAATATTTCCCCTTCATAAAAAGTTCATTTCTGACACTGTATTTTCATATATAGTGGATTTGTACTCATGCAGTGCATTTTTACTGTCAACATCACATCATATTTATGACATCATAAATTTTCTGCTTCATAACACACGCATATATACAAACTCACACTTGAGCTCACATAGTGGCAGGAATACATACCCACTCAAGTAGAGCAGAGTAGAGTATTGAAGTGGCATGTCCACTGTAAAGCTGGATCCCCTCCATATGAAGTCAATATAACCCACTCAGGCTCATGCTTACATTGCATCCTGTACAAGAAGAGCAGTGGAACTCTACCGCTGTCAGCATTCCATCACAATCAATAGCCGTGACTTCCCAGTCTGCTCTTTAACTGTGTATGTAATGAGAACACACACACACACACACACACACTGCAGAAAGGAAAAACATGAGTGGATAGCAAGCTGGCAGATGCTCTAAATAAACACATTGTGTGACATAGCATGTGTTGCGTGACAATGAGTGGTTTTTAGACAAGATACTGGATCAGTTCTTGATAACACACAATACGTCTGTGGTTTTGTTGGTGAAGTGTGTAACTTTTTTGATACTTAAAATACTTTCTACTCTTCCAACTTAGTTTGTAGAGACAACTCTAAGTCAGTCATACGTAGATTTTCTTTCTGAGGAGTTGTTCTCAAACATATGCTCTTGTTTGCACAGCCTTGCATTGTGATTTATATTTTAACCAGAGGCATGTTTTTGGTGAACTGCCTGTTTGGGGCAGAACAAAGATAGACTTTATAAGTCTAGATAGAATTTTAATTAAAAAATTGTTTATATTAAGTTTGAAAAATATATATTAAAGAAAATTAATGAAATTAATAAAGTCAAGGAAATTTGTATATTAAATTAAAATAAATAATTTTTTTTAATCTTTATATTGTAATCACAACGGATTGGAAAAGTAATTTGTCAAAGATGTGGGAACCCTAAATGCAGCTTTAAGGTTGGGAATCTCATCCAGAATCAAGTCTTCGTGCATCCTGCATATTGAATCTTTGATGAGATGACAAAGACGGGGCTTTTTTATTTATTCCTCTTAATTATTTATATCCATGCTCTTCCTCTGCGATGACATTGATTATTTTTACTTCCTCTGCTGTCAGGATCAGCTTCGTTGAAGCATTTCATCAGCTGTGCTTTTGATTTGAAGCTCAAAGAGTGGCAGCATGATGCTCTTGATGTCTGCTGTTTTGGCTTTTTCTGCAAGTACAGACTTCTCCAGGTGTGTTGCAGGAGTCACTTTGCTCGAGTAGGATGTGCACGTGATCATGTGATAGTCACTCTTATGCCTCCGTGTGGGCATAGACGCTGTTTGTGTCCTTTGCTCTTGCCCTGTGACAGGTGTGTTGGTGGTGCTGAGTAAAAATAGCAGTGTTGTGTTTTCCAGCGTTGACTCTGGGTGACTGTATGGATGAAGGACCAGGGCTGGGTGTGAAGCAGGGCCCAGTTTGTGGTGTTATTCTGCTGAGAGAGTCTTAACATGCTCATTAGTGTCTGGCTGTGGTGTGGGTGCTGACTGGCTGCAGGCCACCCTGTAGCGGTGGAATCGTTTGGCTGGGTTACACATGACACCCAGAGGTGAGGCCAGACACACATTCTGCCACAATTTACTTTTTTTGATTGCTAAGAAAGCAGTTAGAGCTCCCAGCATGTTCATTGGATGGCAGATAAATATACATTGTAGGTTTATCGATGCATCTGCTAGTGAGCATGCTATAGGAGATGAGTGGGTGAGAAATTTGTGTACAACTTTTTCTGTAATGCAGACTTTTGGAGGTTTAAATAAGAAAAAAAATGAATAGAAATAGAGAGTGCTAGATGGGAGGGGAATTACTCATCTCTGAGTACCTGTATAGCTGTGTTTAGGATTTTGGACTACTCGTATAGATCATTGTTCATAGCATATAAAGGCATGTCCACTACTGATTTCGAAGGATCAGGCTGGACATACTACACTCATTCACACGCATACGAATTTGGGAGACAGGTAACGCAGGCTTATACAAATTTCATTGCTTTCCAAAGTTCCCGTTTGATGCAAATTCGTAGCATCTTTCCCATAGAAGATTGATGTGTCATGGTGTGACCTGTAAACTGAATTTCAAAGAATGCATACTTTAAATCTGTAGCATTGCGGTAAAGTGGAGCAGATTGAATATGACAGTATGACATCGTATTAAGACCAGTCTTCATAGAAACTTCACATGCTTAAAATCTAATGTGACTGCAACTTCAGTGTGATTTTTTTTTTTCCCCCAAGAAATGAAAGCTTTCATTCAGCAAGGATGCATTAAATTGATCAAAAGTGACAGTAAATACATATAATGTTACAAAAGATTTCTAGGTAACACTTAAAGCATTTATGTGTAATGCATTATAAAAGTAGTTTTTATGCCTTAAATATGCATTGTAATTCACCTTATAATGAATTGTACTATATGATTTTACGAATAATTGTAACGACAGTTAAAATACATTACTTATCTGTTCATTGTTACACCCTTTGAAAGTATAATGCATTAATCTTCAAATATTATAATGCATTTTAACTTTTGTTAAAGTTATTTATATAAAGATATAATACATTACACTGTACTTTATGAATACCTTTATAATGCGATATTCATAAAGGCTTGTTACCGATTTATATTATATATTTATATACCGATTTATATATTGTTACCGAAGTGTTACCGATTTATATTTTAAATAAATGCTGTTCTCTTTCTGTTCATCAAAACATCCTAAAAAAAACAACCAAAAAAAAACAAATCCACAAATTATCCCACAAAGATGTTAAGCAACACAACTGTTTTCAACATGGATAATAATAAGAAATGTTTATTGAGCAACAAATCATCATATTAGGATGATTTCTGAAGGATCATGTGACACTGAAGACTAGAGTAATGATGCTTTGCCATCACAGGAATAAATTACATTTTAGGCTATATTAAAATAGAAAATGTTTGCTGTACTGTATTTATTAAATAAATGCAGCCTTAGTGAGCATAAGACTTTAAAAAACATGGATTTGCATCCTATCACTTGCATTCGTTTCATTCAGTTTTATTACCTTATTATGAACCATAAAATTTAGCATAAATAGTAATACTTGTGTGAAGAGAAATGTAGAAATTCTACATTTTTAAGAATTAAAAATATAGATTAGATATGTATATTGGAAAAACAGTTGTAAGAGCAAAGAGAAGAAACCTCAGCGACCAAAGTAACAGGCAGTTGTATAGGGCTGATTCTTGACATGAAAAGGCATCCAGAGGCCGACTGAAGCTCTCCCCTTGTGTCAGGCTGTGAGATTTGAAATCTCTATTACCACTGTGCGTGAGGGTGGGTGTACGCCACATGTTTTTCTGAGCATGTCTGTGTGTCTGGAATAATCAAACACACTACAGCTGTGGCTGTCTGGCTCTGCCTGGACTCGCTCCTCTCAGACGTTAGCTCACGCTGCTTCTCCACCCACTTCCTCAGATGCCATGAGAGCTCCTCTGATCATTGATTACATATTGAAAACCGTGGGTCAGTACAGTGGGTCACACAAAGTAACAATGGGAAAAATGTTGTAATGTGAGAAAGATTGTGCATGTGAAAGCCCTGGTGATGGTGTGTCCGTAAAGAATCACGCTCAGCGTGTGTCCTACAGTCCTGCTCTCTGGAGAAGATGGCATTGATCATGGCTCCCTGCTGTCTGCAGTCAAACACAGAATAGATAGAAAGACATTACTGGTCATGTGTCTACAAGAGAGTAAAGCACTGGAATCCATCAAAATATGAAAGATATGCGAATGTTCTCTCTCTGCCTTCCTCTCTTCATTTCTCTCTTATCACTCCTTCAAGCGTCCTATCATTCTTTGGAGATCTATGGACACATGCTCAGGCCTGTCCTGTATTTTCCAGCATCTTGTCAATTTTTCTTTTTTTCTTTCTTTCTTTATACGCCTGATCATCCATTTAACCTTTCATTACGTTTTTACTATTTTAGTAATAAATTTGTATGTTTTAAAGGGATATCTGTCATCTTCATATTGCTCAATCTTCGTGATGTACTTTCTTCTACGGAACATTAAAGAAGATATTTTGAAACTAAACAGTTTGGTTACATCTGACTTCAATTGTATGACCAAAAAAAAAAAAAAAAAACACACACTTAGACATTTCTTAAAATATATTTTTTATGTTCTTCAGAAGAAAGTCAAAGAAGTAATACAGGTTTAGAAGCATAATGAGAATAAATACATTTCATTTAGGTGTGAACTTCCCTTTTAAATTTTATAATGTGTTTAAAATGGTGTTAATATTGCGTATCATAAGCTTTAAAGTGAAAACAGTGATATGTTTGCAAATGTTTGTTTTGAATGAGAACTATTTCTCCTTTCGCTCATCTGAACATGGGTACATTTAACCAAAGAATGTGCTGAGAACCTGAGGTAATGACAGAGAAAAGAAACTTCATCTGGAGTTACAGTATTTCAGTCCATTAAATAACAACCAAGCTAAATGTGACCTTTTTTTATAGGCTGATAAGTTTTTGTATTGTTTGAAATAGCAAAATACCCATAATTATTGCCCATTTTATCAGTGTTAGGACTGATAACAGCATTAATGACATTTGGTATCAGATCAGAAAGAAAATAAGTGTTATCCCCCATCCCTAGTGACAGTGTAGGAGAGTTATTAGTGATTTATTCATGGATTTATTTGATCAAGGATTCATCAGACTGATTCAAATGTTAACTCTTGAGTTTGTGAGTCTCCTGAATTGAATCACACTAAAATTGAGCCTAATGTTACTTTTTATCGCAGCTAAGACAACACGAGAAAGATGTGTTTTCTTGGCATTATATTGTGATACACAGTCTTTTTATGTGATCACATTCAATTCTGACTTCAAGCTCACAACTCAGGGAAAATACGATTATTTTTTAGTAGAGCTGTGGTTTTAGCAGCTGAATAGCTTTGCAGGAAACACTGCTATAGATCCACCGATAATCCATTTTTGAAGCTTTTTTTTTTTTTTTTTTTCAATATCTGAGCAAAGGTGAGCTCATTAGATGTTAAAAAAAGGATCCAGCAGAGTGTATTTCCTGTGTTTTTTACTTGCAGGATTAGTTTGCATGTGCTCAATAAACACGGGATGTGTGTGTAATCTGCTTTTGGCTGCTCTCCGACGTTGCTGCCCACAGGATTGAGTTGGCATGCTACAGGTCACCTTGTCCAAATTTGATCAAAATAACAAAGAGTAGATTAACTCTGCCATTCTCACGCTTTCCTCCCAAACAGAAGAAACTCCTATTAGCCTTTCTCAGCCTAGTGAACAGCTGAACTCTGGGATTTCTCCAGGGAAGTCTTTGAGGATCATTAGCATGCAGACAGAGTAGTTTGATAATGTAGACATCTAACTTTACTGCCCTGTTCCTTTAATAGATAGTTTGCATAATTGAAGGACACAGAGGCTCTCCAAATGAAATTCACTTTCTCAACTCTGCCAGGCCCTATGGTACTACTGAGATCTGGGCAAAGCTTGTGCCCGACGGGTGTTGCGTTAACCTGCCCTCTGTTACAGCCCAGCAGCGTGGCATCATTAGGGCACTGGCAGGTAGGCTGGAAATGGATCTCGTTGTCTCCGGCTCCTTATGGCCTCCAGCTGCTGTCATCCATCTCAAGCACAAACAATCAGAAGTAGCCAAATGACGCTTTACCCCTTCCACTGGGAAAATTATTTGAGTTCCAGAAATCTCTTGCAGAAATTTGCTTCCTTTTCAAATGGAAAGACAAAACAGCCGGGGCATTCCCTTGTAATGAGTTTATTTTTCCCATGATCTTGTATAGTATGAGCAATGGCGATGTAAATTGCTGCTGAAGGGTGCCAGTAGCAGCTCGCCAGGGAATAGGCTTGTTGTCTATATGCCCATTAGCAGATTCACATACTCATCAGTATCAGCTGTGAATTCACAATTAAGTCACCCACAGTTCCCTCATCATGTTTACTTGTGTGACAGGCTTGAGCCGAGGGGGCAGCGCTAGCAGTTAACCAGAACTTTGTTTGTACTTTCAAGCAAAAATAGAAGATGGTTCCACAGGAGAGAATAAGTACTTGAACAGTATTGCGATCGTGCTGCAGTGGCATACAAGTGCAAGCGTTGTTGCAATGCACACACTTTAATCTTTATTTAAATTTTTTTTTTATATATATATAAAACATTGAAGTTAGGGATGGGTGCTATGCTCAAAAATGCTATAGCATAGTCATTTTATATCATTCATTCATTTATATTTTTTACATATTTTTTTCCTCGTCAATTCAGTGAAAAATGGTTTGATAATGCTAAATAAATGTACTGTATGCTGCTGCCACTGCTGCTGATAATGATTATTATTATATTACTTATTACTGCAGTTATTATCTTAATGAGCACAAAACAAAGAATGAGACTATTCATCATTAATATTCTCATCTCAATTATGTGCTACGTAATTGTTTTAAACTGAACTGTTTATACTTTTCATCTGTATTGTATTTTTTCTTTTATTTAGTTTTATTTATTTATTTTGTATTTTTATGCATTTCTGTATTTTGTATTTTTGCCAGTTTTCTTTTGTTTTCTGCCTAATAATATCAAACAAATTGGCTGTATAACTGTCCTGTATTTTTTTAACTGTACATTGTCATTTTATAAGTGCAAAACCAGTTTTGAATTGTCGAAACTGGTTTTATGCTTATATTAAAAACAAAAGACTCAAAAACTAATAAATAATATAACGCCTCAAAAAATAGATATAGTAAGTTCTGATTGGGTGAGTCAACACATTAACTGAATTCTATATTAATGCTTTGTGGCATTGCAAGTATTTTTAATTACTATACATAATTTCTTTTTTTGTTCTTGCTTCAGAATCTTTCTTCTTCGTGTCGGCCTCCTCCCGTACGCCCAGCGTGACGTTTGGCGACTCGTTTGACCTGCAGTGCATCGTGAAGCCACGGCACAATCCCAACGTTCCTGCTGCGGTCACATGGCGCTTCCAGCCAGCAGAGGGCGACGGAGAGTTCCGAGATTTGGTGACGTTCACGCGGGACGGCACTCTGCAGTGGGGCGACCAGCTGCTGGGCCTGGGCACCCGTACCATGGTGGATCGTACGCCTACGAACACCAATTTCCGCCTCAGCATCACCCGAGCTGGACGCAAGGAGGCCGGGACGTACCAGTGTGCTGCCCTGCTTTATCGGAGGAATTACGATGGCACCTGGAGCACGGTGGCCAACCGCACCTCCAACCCACTGGGCATCAGTGTACTGCAGCCTGGTGAGTCTAAAAACGGCTACCGTCACAGGAAAGGTGCATGTAGGCTACCTGACTGCTTGACTGAGGGCAAGAACCAACTGTGACTGTTTTGATGGCACTAAATTGCAGATAAGTTTCACTGACACCCATTAAAGTTTGGGTTTGTAATGTTTGCCCATGGCTGAATGCTGGAGTCACTCCCCAGCCTCGAAAAATTAGCATAATTAAGACAACTCGCACTTTACTGTCACTACAGAAATAAAGATATCACTGATAATGCACCATGTTGTAGTGTGGCCTAGTTTCACAACTTTCACCCTCACTAGATCTTTCTCTCTCCCATTCTTCTGTCATGTGTGTGTTTCACGAGATATTGGCCTCTCTGTGCTCATAAGAGTAATTGAGATGATTGGCGTGTGTGTGGAGCTGAGGCAGACCCTCCTAATGGTCGGGAGTGTGCGAGGAAGAGGTTGTTAATATCCTCCAAAGCGATTAGAAGAGAAGAATATGA